CACAGGTATATAAACGTAGCTAATCGGATGGGTCCAGGTAATGTCAGGGTGGTAGAGAGAGAGAGAGCGAGAGAGAGAGAGAGAGAGAGAGAGAGAGAGAGAGAGAGAGAGAGAGAGAGAGAGAGAGAGAGAGAGAGAGAGGTTGGGCTACCTTTTTGCCACCATCCCACACTGTGTAGGGAAAGTGTCCCTGGATTTTATAGCAGCAAGGGACGAAATAAGAAGAGGGAGGAGGAGGAGGAGGGGAGGAGGGGTAGAGAAGAGGAGGGAGGAAGGATCAAGGTTGAGGAGGAGGATAAGAAGGAGGAGGGTGTGGGGAAGAGGGAGGGGAGGAGGGGAGGAAGAGAACGGTGGAGGTGGAGGGGGGGAAGAGGGGGGAAGGGAAGAAGACAAGGAGATGGGGGGGAAGATGGGGAGATGAAGGGGATGAAGAGAGGGAGGTGGATGGGATGAAGAGAGTGAGGGAGGTAGAGGGGAGGTGGAGGGGAGAAAGAGGGAGAGGTGAAGAGGAAAGAGGGAGAGGCAGGGTGAGGAAGGGGAAGGTAGCTAATAGGGTGACGGTGTCATAAGATCCATCGAGAGAAAGACAGACAGACAGACAGACAGACAGACAGACAGACAGACACACAGACAGGCAGACAGACAGACACACAGACAGACAGACACACACAGACAGACAGACAGACAGACAGACAGACAGACAGACAGACAGACAGACAGACAGACAGACAGACAGACAGACAGACAGACAGACAGACAGATAAATAGTGATAAAAGGTAAACAATAATACAAGCAACAAATCTATTAGTGTTATGAAATATGAAAAAAAATACACAAAAAATAATAACATACAAGTGAGAGGAAAAAAATTCTGACATCAGTTTTAAATATCAAAGACTCGTCATCAATTCACGTGACGAAGAATAAATAAATGAGTAAAGACTGAGGACAATTTATTCTCAGTTAAGAGTTTCATAAATTGGAAATAAATAATGATTCAAGGTACTTATGCATCACCCCTTTCTCCCCCTACCCTCTCCTCCCTCTACCCCCTCTTCCTACCCCTCCTCCCCTCCCCCTCCCCACTCGTTCTTCCCTCCCCCCCTCCCCCCCAAACACCACCTTAACATGTTAATGAACGCCATTATTTTCATTCTGGTAGTGTCGGGGGAGGAGGGGGGGGGTGTAGTACGGGATAATGAAGACCTGTTGGACTAATAATGTTGGTAGTGTGGTAGTTAGATGACTGGTAGATGGTATAATAGTAGTAGTAGTAGTAGTAGTAGTTGTGGGGAAGGCAGTATTAACCCTCCCAAAATATTACCCCAAATTTATAATAAAATCATTAAAACAAAAATCTTAAAAAATCCCCCTATTTTTTTTTTTTACCTTTATATATTAACAAAATAATCAATACGTTCACCTGTTGTCACCGTAAAGAAAATAAACAGATAATTGTCACGTAAATGTATGTTATTTGACGACCAAGAGAAGATACCCAGCCGGTGGTAATGTGACTCTTCTCCCTGTGGGGCGAGACGCAGATAAAGCCTGGCGATCCTTCTCCAGTGTGGGCGAAGGAGAGGTGAAGCTGAGGTGGGATTATTGCTTCGAGATGGTGAATTTGTTTTGGGTTGGGTTACGTATCCGAGAATATGGGTTAATAGGCTGCTGGTGTTGGTGTTTTTTGCAGCGTTCATGTGGAGAGGGAAGAGGTGGAGAGGGAAAAGGTGGAGAGGGAAAAGGTGGAGAGGGAAGAGGTGGAGAGGGAAGAGATGCAGAGGAAGGAGGGGGAAGAGGAGGAGGAACAGAGGGGAGAAAAGAGGAAGAAGAAGGGAAAGAAAGACAAATCACAGACAGAAAGGGGGAAGAGGATGAAGTAAAAAGAAGAGGAGGAGGAAAAGTGAGTGAGCAGACAGGGGGGGAAAAGAAACAGTCAGTAAAGAGAGAACGATGAGAGAGAGAGAGAGAGAGAGAGAGAGAGAGAGAGAGAGAGAGAGAGAGAGAGAGAGAGAGGAAAATCAAGGAGTGTGGCACAGGTAATACGACGAATCACCAAGGGACGGTTTTATTACTGTCCAACAGGTGTCAACAGAAGAGACAGATCGACAGTAAAAAAAATGAAGAATGAATAGGGAAGGTCAAGAAAGGAAAGGAATTTGGAAGGAAGAACAAGGGAGAAGGAAGGGTTGGAAGAAGTATTTAAATGAGAAGAGAAGAAATGATAAAGGAAGAAGGAAGAGGAAGGAGGAGGGGTCGTCGTAATAGTAAACGCCCTTGAGTTAACTGTTCTGGGATAGTTATTACCTCAGTTAATAATAGCACTGTAATACTGATGTTGCCTTTGTCTGTCGATGGAGTCACGTATATTGGTCATTTCAGCTACACGAGTGAATGTCATTATGTCGAATTTCATATCACGTAAGAATAATTATAATATGTTGAACTAGAAATGAGATTCTTCTGTAATTTGATATCTGTATATGTGATGTCTTTGTGGTGATAATAGTACACATACAGGCTAGCTCATACATACATACATACATACATACATACATACATACATACATACATACAACTTCCTTCGGGTAGGGTACATGAGTATTGATGTCACCCTCAGATTACCTCTTGTGAATGACTTCCTCCATTCTATTGTGCTACTAAATCACTTCAACATAACGTTATACTCTCTTCCTGTTGGGTGACGGTCTGTTGGTAGTGATGATAATAATGAGAGTGATTATAATAATGATGATAATAGTGATATAAATAACAGTGATAATGATTGTGATGCTGCTGCTACTATTACTACTACGACTACTACGACTACTACGACTACTACTACTGCTGCTGCTGCTACTGAAAAGAAGAAAAAGAATAATAATAAGAAGAAGAACAGGAACAGGAAGAAGAACAAGAAGAAAAACAAGAACAAGAAGAACAAGAACAGGAACAAGAACAAGAAGAACAAGAAGAACAAGAACAGGAACAAGAACAAGAAGAACAAGAAGAACAAGAACAGGAACAAGAACAAGAAGAACAAGAAGAACAGGAACAGGAAGAAGAACAAGAACAACAAGAATCATTTCTCTCTGTCTCTCTGTGTTGTCTGTGTCTCTCGCACCATTTGTCGGAACAGAATATCAAATTAAGTGGCACTCCTGATTCTAATTGAAGAGAAGTGAAAGACCCTCAAGTGGCACTCAGAATTTCGAGACAAAGGCAAGTACTACTCCAGTTCTTATCGTTCAAACTTGCCATTATAGCAGAGGAGTTATTGATCAAAGAGAAACAGCTGAGGAAAGGCGAAGGCAGGCGGAGAGAGAGAGAGAGAGAGAGAGAGAGAGAGAGAGAGAAAGAGAAGGGAAGGAGGGAGGGAGAGAGAGAAGGGAAGGAGGGAGGGAGAGATGGAGGATAATAGAGAAATGAAGTGATTGAGGGAGGGAAGAAGGGAGGGAAGGAAACAGAGAAAAATAGAGGTATACATTGAAGATAGTGACTATATAGTGAGATAAAGAGGGAGTGTATAGTGACTCTTTAACTAACGGGTCAGGTGTTGGTGGTTCAACGTGAGTTCGTGCTCGGGAACTCGTTGAACACCTCCGTTACACCTGCCTGAAGTGTACCTCACGTTATACCTGCCTGGCGTGTACCTCATTAAGTATGGTCATGTTTGTTCTATAACGGCTCTCTGTGACCATCTGATACAGTTTGTTTTAGTCTGTCTGTCTATCTGTCTGTCTGTCTGTCTGTCTAGGTTAGGTTAGGGAGAAATTTTATCTTACGCGTATTTAAAAATATGAAACAACTATACAAGTTGATAGGTAAGGGGCTGACTGATCATGTGGGTCCCCAAATCTTAGCGGGTACTCAATCGAGCTTCATCTCGTTGTTAAGTGAGGGGTCCAGTTCTCTTGGGCCTGAATTCCAATGGACCCCAAACCGGGTGGCTAAGTTATATAAAAGATAAAGTAGGCTGGGGCTCAGCTCAACAGTGCTGATTGGTGCCTGCCTATTACAACTGGGGGCTATTAGAACTGGGACCTATTTATACTGGGGCCCATTGAAATTGGGGCCTATTAATACTGGGGCCCATTACAACTGGGGCATATTAGAACTGGGGGCCATTAGAACTGAGGCCTATTACAACTGGGTCTCATTACAACTGGTGTCCATTAGAACTGGTGCCTATTACAACTGGGGACAATAAGAAAGGGGCCCATTAGAAAGGTGGTCTATTAGGAATGGAGCCAATTCATCCAGCAAACAGAGAGAGAGAGAGAGAGAGAGAGAGAGAGAGAGAGAGAGCGCTAATAACTCATACCTAATCAAGTGTTTCTGGTCAATACTGAAGGTAAGTCGTACGTGAGGGCCCTACCAGATCTATTTTCCATGGATATCGGATATTTTGTTCAGTAACAGTTCGTATTGGAAAGGGATTCGCGTAAAACTTTTTTGAGGGGTGACGAAGGGAGACAAAGGGGAGATGGAGGGGGAGAAGGTGGGGACGAGGGGGGACGAGGGGGGACGAGGCTGACGAGGGGGGAGAGAAAGGGAAGACATGACTGAGTGAAAATGGTGGTTGTTATTGTTTGTTTGTTTGATAATAAGAATAGTGATTTTGATACGACTACTACAGTACTACTACTACTACTACTACTACTACTACTACTACTACTACTACTACTAATAATAATAATAATAATAATAATAATAATAATAACCCCAAAATACGGTAAAAAAAAATAAATAAAATTAAAAACAAACACAAGCGCCAAATATAAATAACGTCAACCTTCACCCAGTTTGCTTACTTAAGAACGATGACTTAACGATTTGAAGACGATGATTATAGTCAACGATAACTTAACACCTTTAGGACGATAGTTTAGGTAATTAAGGTAAGATGGTTATGATACTTGGAGGATGATATTGTAAACTAACGTTGGTCTTTCGTTAATTAGTGTGTCAATGACCTCTCACTCCCCAAGTGCCATTCCTAAGACCAGGTACCGGAGCCAGACACAAGATTCCTACTAAGGCGGGTATGGGAATGCTGGAACGCCGCCGTCTGGAATGCCGACAAGGAATGTAACAATGGAAAGATTACTAATGGGGATGACTGTGTGTGTGTGTGTGTGTGTGTGTGTGTGTGTGTGTGTGTGTGTGTGTGTGTGTGTGTGTGTGTGTGTGTGTGTGTGTGTGTGTGCGCCAAAAAATACACCAAAGATATAATAAAGCTTCATTTTCCAGGAAGATTTGCAAAAGATAATCTTTATTAAGCTTCTGTGTCCATTACTCTATCATCCAGAAGAGTTATAAACAAATAGACTTATTCCTGGAGCCTTATTTAATCAGCCTCAGACACACCTTCAGCCTCTATCCTCACATCAATATTAAACTCTACTAAAAGATGAAGTATATTAATTTTCTAAAATAATCGACTCAGTTTACTTATAATTACAATTGTACTTTTCGCAAATTATGTCGAAAGTGAAGCACAAAGGAGGTGATTTATGTAAGTATCGATTCAGTAATAAGCCAATTAGCAGAAACAATAAATGAGTTTTCCGTCAAACTTTCTGATTGCGACCAAAGTTTTGCATTTTTTTTTTTGGTAATCAGGAACAACAAAAAAATAATACAACACCCACGGACTTACTTCTCTCGGGTCTTAATTAATAGACAGTTTTTATGTGTTTCTCAAGTTTGAAAAAAAAAAAAACTTTGAATGTGTTGCAGTGAATCAAGAAACAAGCAACATTCACCACACATGTATTGTTGTATTTATTCATTGTTCTATTAGGTGTCGTAAAATATGAATATTTCCACCAAAATAATGAGACATTCTGCCAGAGGAGGACAATAGAATTAGTTATTTTACTTTTAATCAAATTCTATAACACCATAAGGAGAGTGATAAAAAAAAGGACAATTTTTTAGAGCATTGTGTGTGTGTGTGTGTGTGTGTGTGTGTGTGTGTGTGTGCGTGTGTGTGTGTGTTTCTAATTAATATTTATGCAACAAAATAATGGTATTACTTGTATGTAGAATCCCTAAAGAGTTATCTAAGCGAGACGACAAAAAAAAACCTAACCTAACACCATGAAGCGCTTAAAGAAACATTACGTGCAAGTATATTAAATGGTGGAGAATCTCTCTTACCTTTTCCTTGTTGGAGATGGATTTGTGTAGGAGGGAGAGCTGGTGGTTCTCCCTCACTTCGTCTCTCTTTACCTCCATCTTGACCACCTTCAGTTGTCTCTCGTGTTCCTGTTTGCATTTCCTCAGTTCTGCTGCCTTCTCTCTCTCTGCCGCAGCCTTTAACGTCAGTTCAGCTCGCAGGCGATCTTTCTCTTGGCGAAGGACAGTCAACTCCCGACGAAGGTGCGCCAGCTCGATGGAAGATACCAGCTCGACTCCTTGCTTGGTCTGACAGAGGAAACAAAAAAGGAATGGTTAAAATTATGGAAACTTGCAGTGGCGGTGGTGGTGATGGTGATGATGATAGTAGACACGGTGGTAAAGGTGATACAGCGATAATGGTGATGATACAAGTGGTGAGGAGAGAGAGAGAGAGAGAGAGAGAGAGAGAGACGGGTTTACAACTATTGACACTGCACAATAAACTGTTTACCACACACACAGTGACACACACAACCGTACACCATATAACACCATAACTCCAGAGATAAACAAAACAATTACCAGTCACCTCATTGTACATTCAGTTGACAAAGACTAACTAGTCAGGAAGATATCGAGTTTATGTAAAAAAAAAATATGCAGATTCGAAAAATACTGGATATAGATTGACGATTTTCTCTTCGTCAACAAATTTCCCAACCTTCTTCACCAGAATGTTAAGTTAGTTCTTTATAGGAATTCTAAACTTAGACAATAAAGATTCACCGATTTTCCTACAATCGGGAGTCAGACGGTCAGTGTCGTGTGTATCAATCTACCTAACTAACTAACGTCCGCATTATGTCTGTCCGCTTTACAACTCGGGTAAAGGAAGATCTACAATACTCTTGCTTGTGCGTATTATCTTCACCTTGACTACCAACGCACAGAGCTTTTATATTTCCTCAGGATCAGGAAGTTGAAGGTTACGGCCTCAGCTTTGTGAAGGTCGAGATATACTTCTACGGTCACGTTGTTACCTACAGTGTTTACAGACGGGGTTAAGAATTCACTTCCTCCCGACGTGAAGCAGCATCGACCCCAAGCGAGATAATACAACACACCCGCACCAGATGACAGTAAGTTCGGAGACTCATTCCTGTAATTCGGTTTCAGCAAGGAGAGTGAACTGCGTCCGTGGCTGTACCTTAACTGTAAAAACTATAAGAATTCCCGGATATAAATTACCTAATTCTACAAGAAAATAATATAACCAATTATAAATATGTGGCAAAGAAAGAAAAATAATTGTAATGAATCTTTATACACAAAGAACAATAGAGTCCGTAGAGTAGATTATATCAAGAATGAAAAAGTTATCAAAAGAATCAAGAAAACATATATTCTTTATAAACATTATGAAAATTTAGTAATGCGGAAAAGAAGTGTCACGCCAATAATATACAAGTTGTGATAGAAAGTATACGCCGCAGTATGTATATTTTTGTGGCTAAAACAGTTATTCTCACCGAGGAACCAACAAAAGGTACAAAAATTTATGGCTTTCCTGTGAGTGAATAACAACACAAGAACTTCACCAGGTTGACGCACGAGTGGAATCTTTTTAGGAAGACGAAATAATTTAAAACACGCTCTCCCTCCCTCCCTCCCTCGTCCCACGTGAGTCATTGTTTCATTATTCATCAAGTTATTACTATTAAATATAAAGTTATTAGTAGACGTGTTTGTGTTTGAACGGCTGCTTGTACGTATATACATCAGGGGTCGTGTATATGTTTGTATGAGTGTTTCTTGTCTATATATCAACTACATAAGTGTCAATAACCTAACCTAACCTAACTATTAAGGTCTCGTCACTCGCCACCAAAACATCTGGTGACTGAGGCAACTTCCGGTTCGTGTGTCGTTGTAAACCTTGTAGACGTCAGCACCAGCAAGAGCTTCCCGTCACCCTCACTCATGTCAAAGGCTCAGTCCACACTCCTTATTCATACTTAGACTCACTCTTATATCCCCAAGACCCAATACTTAACTTAGTTTTTTATCTAAGCCAACTTGAGTTAACTTACCATAACCAAACATAAGTTAACGTAACCTGAAATGATATTACCTAACCTAACCAACATTTAGTAAACGTATGGTAGGCTAACCAAAATCATCCCAACTTAACTAAATCAAACTTAACCAAACTTTCTGTAAACTAACTTAACCCGACTTCTAACAGTAACTTAACTCTACGATAATAAGTCCCGTCAAACTTAACTTAACCGAACCAAAACTATCTTACTCTTAACGAGACCAAACATAACGAGACCACATCCGCTATCTCAGTGTGAATATTTGGGTCCAGTTCTTAGTTCAGATCCGGAAAAACTAACTTGGTCCGCTACAAGTAACAGAACCCATCTAGCAGTTACGGTTTACATGGGCCCCAGTCCTCATAGGCTCTGAACCCAAACTAGTCAAGCGATTAGGATTAAAGCCCATTAAGACTTAAGTCCTCAACAGAGACTCTTAGATCTGGGGTCTTTCTGGACTGTGGCCCTTATAACCCGCCAAGGTATCTAGTTACGGTAAAGTCTGGGTGTAATTTCAACGGCGGTTTGGAAGTTGTCGCTGACCTGAGTGAACTAGTAAGGTGAGCTCGTATGTCTGCAGTTTGGGAGAAAATATAACGTGCGATATCACAAAAATCCGGCCCGAGGCAGTTGATCAGTTAGTCTATGTCATAATTTGAGAAGAAGTCTTAATTCACAAGTATAACCGATTGTCCCATGGTAGATACCCCTGTTGTTTATATTGATTTGGAATGCAAATATTAGAACCCAGTGACTGAATGAAGAATACAAATGTTTTTATAAGTGTTGATAAACTGTTCATTAGCTTAAAACAAAAACAAAAATAAAAAAATCAGTTGTAGTGCCTTCTCAGCTTTTTGTACTGTGGACTATTTTTTAACGAAACTGACGAGTTCTCAAGTAAGGAAACGCCGAAAACGCCCGATAGTTTATGAAAGAAAAGAACGTTTGAACTTTGTTGAGAACATAGAGCCCATTTAAGGTAAGAGATTACTTATGTGTAAGAAGACAAGACGCAATATTTTGAAGAGCAATTTTTCCTCCAGTTTTGATGAGTTTTCAAGGAGTCTATTTCGTTGTTTCTGTCGTCTCTATACGCCACCTGGCTAATTTCCTCTTTTTTCTTTTGTCAGATACCGACACAACTAAATGTTTTAGACTCCGTAAAGTCCAAGAGAAACATTTTCGCAGGAGGAACCGAACGACACTTGATTAGATCCACAGAGACCCAGCGTGAGGGAAGTGGAACGAAATGTATACAGTAGCGTCACTACACTTTAACGAACACTTGTACCTGACTGTCTCTTGACCTGGTCTTGGGCTCATACCTCTGATAAACACAATATTTAAGTTTGTGTTTATATGTCTGATGTTTCTATCACCTATACGTTAATTTCTGTACCTGTCCTTTATTCTTAAGTGGATTTATTAAGCTCAATGTATTTTATTATCACATCAAGGTGGACACAACACGTGGAAGATAAGTCGAAGAACTACAGAACAAAAAAAAAATTAACTACACCAGGATTTGTTTTCTATAGGCATGTGTAGTGACCATTGACTACGTGAGTATTACATAACAAACTATGATTAACTATACAATATAAATATACGCACTTAACTACACAACTAAGTATCAGGAGCAACTCCCGTGTAAGCATGATGGGATCCGAATCTACAATCACTCCTTCCACCAATACCGATCCTCCCCCCCCCCCATAAAAAAAGGTTTCGATTCACTTTCATTTGAGATCTGTTCGAAATCGATTCCCCATACACGTGCAGTGGGTGGCTGGGTGGATTGACAGACAGACAGACAGACAGACAGACAGACAGACAGATAGATAGATAGATAGATAGATAGATAGATAGATAGATAGATAGATAGATAGATAGATAGATTGATATTGATAGATAGATAGATAGACACAAATTGAGCCGGGTCTCCCCTAAAAAAAAAAGTAATAGTTCATCAGTCATCCGGAAATGAAAACACCCAATTAATGTTTGAATGAATTGAGAGCAGGTGGCCAAAACAGCTTCCTTCATCATGGCTTCTCTTCATTCATCTCCTTCTGTCACCCACTGTCATATTTCTCTCTGTCATTCTTTCTCTCGTCTTTCCTTCTTTCTATTTCTCTCTTAGTCTCTCTGTTATAGATAGATAGATAGATAGATAGATAGATAGATAGATAGATAGATAGATAGATAGATAGATAGATAGATAGATAGATAGAGAGAGAGAGAGAGAGAGTGTGTTTAACGACAGACTAAAGTGAGTATCAGTATTTAGAGAAAAACCCGACAAAGTTAAGACAAGGCATTTTAGAACCCCTTGAGAGAGAAAACCAAACGTTGTTTCTTAGTTGATTTCTTCATCTAGCACCATCGAGTTTTCCAATACTCCCGGTGGAAATATTTAGTTAAGTAAACAAATAGTGCAGTGACCGCCTCTCCCGACTAACATTCTGATAAGGTGTTTTTCTTGTGGAACGTTCCTCTGGGGGTTAGTTTGGTTTCAAAGTTTCTTCCTGGCAGTCTTTAGTCCTTAATGATTTCACTCCTTAAGAGGATGGCCGGCCCAAGAGCCACCTAGGCGTGAATTTGTTTAAGGTGTAGAAGCTGTCGCCAACACAACAACCACACTCTAAGTTGACGAGTTGTATGACCCAGTGTCAAGGAATAGTCCGAGAGACCGGACAACTCGCCAACTGCACTGGATAACCATTATCCTGGAATACGATCCACAAATCGATTAACATCCAGGTCCCTAATTACTGCTGGGTAGACAGAGGCAAATGGCATAAAGAAAACTTGCCCATAGGTTCACTCTGCTCGGAGATTGAACCCGGAACTAATTGCATGCTCGCCTCCCATGCTGATCATTACACCATACGTCCCCGTTTCTCCTTCCACACACACACACACACACTACCTCTACGTAACTACTAATTAGCTTTAGTTACCGGTGCATTTACCTATATATTCCCCGAAGTGTTGTATGTAACAGCACGAACCCGATACATTTCTTGATTAATAACTTTCATATCGACAAGAGAAAGTAAATATTACTACCAGGAAGCTTTGATTACTTCTTTAGCTTTGTCATATAAAAAAAATGGTTTTATAGTTGTAAGAGCGGTTGGGCTTTCACGTTTTCTTGAGCGAAGTATTTAACAACATTAACCTCGTCCAGTTCTTGTCTAATAGCGTCTGGTGAGAGTGGCCGTGACTCCTGTTAAGTACCCAGAATATAAGAGAGAGAGAGAGAGAGAGAGAGAGAGTAAAATAATGAATAGATTGGCAGTGAAAATAAACAGCTTTAGTTGTCGTTTCACACACGCCTTAATGCCGCCTCCTCCTCCACCTCAAGACACATGGACGCCTTTTAGACGGTCAGTATAGAGGAAATAATATTATCTATACCACCACCCTATATAGATCCTATGCCAGACGCTAATAACATATATGCCTAAATTATAAAGAAAGATACAATCATTTTCTTTAAATTTAATTAGAGAATATCGCATAGTGTGTGTATGTGGTAAACTGACTACCGTATCACCCGAGTGTTCGTCAAGAGCCAGACATGAGGAGGGAAGATTAAACCAAGAAATAAGTCTTTAATTGCTTATCTGTTTTATAATTTCATTACCTAATTGTTTTCGATAACAGTAACAAAATTTTCATAAAATAGAGTCAATTATTCAAATATTGATAAAACTTAATAATGAACTAATTAGTATTTCATAAAATGCTAGTTTGCGCAATTGGCCGTCTGGCAACACTACAAGCGTATGGTATATATATCAGTTGAGCAAGGGCAGTGGAGGGTTAGTAATTATTCATCTATCAAAGGGTCCGTGTAGAGTAGTTTTAGGTTATTAAATTTATTATCGAAAACAATGAACTCTTAAACCCGCCATTCGCTAATAGGTGTCATCAATCGTGAGTTAGCTAATGTGATTCACAAGGTCATGTAAAATTGATGCTGAATCATGAAAAAGTTTATTATACAATCTCCCAACAGAAGATAAACTTCACTCGAGACTCGGCTGGCGCTTCTGGGCAACGAACAGATAGTAATTTTAAGCAAGAACAAAGTACAAAATTACATGGCAACAAAACCTGGGAGATACATAAGTTGATATGTACTGTATATGTAGGTGGAAAGATGAATTGATAGGCATACAAGGTGTCTCAAAAACCATATACTACCTTACAGTTTCTTGGTAATCGCGTCTATTACAACAGCAAGAGTGTCCTCACCCACTTGAGGAAAATGTTGCTGTTGTAATACTTTCACGCGATCGACACAAAATATATATTGGCCTAGTGACAATTATCAAGGTTGGACAGGTGACAACAAATGACAGTCGGGTCATTAACCTGGCCTGGAGCGACAGATGCACTCGCCACCTGATGTTCCTCCTTCCTCCACGTAACTGGACTCTCCCACCCCCCACCCTCTCTATTAGTACCTACCCTATCTTTCTCTACCTGTCAATCTTTCTCTTTTAACATCTGCCCATTCTCTTTCTGAACTCTTACCCATTCTCTGTTTCTCTCTATACTTGCCCACTGCTTGTCTCAGCAACTATCCTATCCTTCTCTCAACACCTGCCCAGTCTCTCTCGATATCTGTTGTCTCTAAACATCAAACATTCCCTCCAGCTCTCTCTCTCAACATCTCCCCATTCCCCTCCCCTCTCTCTCAACACACGTTATCTTTCGCCTCCATCTTTATCTGGTTTTCCCTTCATATTCTTCTTGTCTCTTCCTACATGTTTCTCCCTTCTTTAATTCCTTTGCTTGCTATCCGCTTTATAAGTTCTAAGAATGTTGTCCTTCTTCTCTATTTCCCTCTCTTTTCCATATTTCCCGTCATCTTTCTCCCTAGACTATTCACGTGCTCTTTCACATTTCCTGTTTCGTATTTTCTCCTCCACAATCTCTTCCCTCTTCCATCTCATTCATTTCTTCCTGCAATCCCTTATAACTGTTCGTTCATCTCCTTACGTACCCTTCGTTCCCATCTTCCATTCTCTCCGATTCTACATTAATCCCCACCCCATTTCACTTATATGGCTTTGACGTGTACCGTTCTACTTCTATCAACCTACCCCTTCCTCCTCCTCCCGTCTCCACTCACCTGTTTCTCCCTCTGCAGCATCAGCTCACGGGTCCTGGAATTGGTCTTCTCAACTTTCATGCGGGCCTTCAGCTCTCGTATTTCCTCGTTTTTGTCGTGGATGATCTTTCTCAGGTTGGTCAGCCTAGACCGCATCACTGACATTTCCCGCATTGCCGACGTCAAATCCCGCTCGGGAAAAGTCACTTCCCGAGCGTGGGACGTCGATTTATCTGTCAAGGACTTCGCGTCGAGCTCCGAAGCTGTCGATTCCTGCAAGGACGGCGTTTTCGGAAGTCTCCTTAAAGGGGCTGTCACTTCCTTTTCTCCGGAGTTGGATCGCGACCACAAACGACGTCCGGATTTCTGGCTCTTCTCTCCACGATCTGGGGATTCCAGTTCTAGTTCGGCGGTGGATTGCTGCCACCTGGGTCGGGGCTGCTGTTTACTGGGCCTCTCCAGCTCCAGCTCCCCGTGGAAAGACTTGTTTAAATTGCCTTGACGATCCTGCTTGACTTGGGGCTTTTCTTCAACTACCTCCTCATCTTTGGAAGGCTCCGTGCTGGTTGTGACAGAAATGCTGTCAGTTTCTGTTCTCTCTGACTCCGTTTCATTAGTTTCCGTATCTCCTGCATCACTTCCATCAAAGTCTGTTTCACCAATATCCGTCTCATTAAAATCTTTTTCACCGTTATCCGTCTCATAAAAGTCTGTCTCGCCATTGTCTGTTGCACTTTCATTCACTGTCGAATTTTCATTAACTTTCCTCACGTCAGTACTCGTCCATCGAGTCTCACTGTGTGTAGACGCATCCAGATCTTCTTTCTTTTCCCTGATAAAGAGTTCGACTCCCCTCCACCCTGACTGGTCGTAGTCTATGGTGTATCTCTCCTTATAATAATTCCCACTTAGACTAAGCTTCGATTCCACTTTGATGCCGTCTATCTCTCTGATATCTGCACAGTGTCCTCTGACTCCCTCCTCCATATCGGTCGCACTACTCGCTCTCAAAGTCGACTCGGTCTCCCCGCTGGTGTTATCTGACTCGCTGACGCTGTCGTTATCATATGCGCCGTCGTCGCGCTCGTATTCACTTCCCTCAGGATCTGCATCTTCCTCGTCGTTGTCAAATGTCTCTTCGAAGTCCTCGAGGGAGGTGTCTAAACTAGAGTAGTGCTTGGCTTTGTGAACTTCCCATCGTACCTCCGTCGTGTAGCTCTGGTTGAACGCGTTGGAGAGGCCCTGAGTCGTTGTGCTCTTGAGGACGGATGTTGAGGACGGTGCCGTATCCTTAGAGGAAGTGGAAGCTGCTGTCACGCTACTGGAGGTGATGGTAGAGACTTCTAAGGAAGAAGAAGAGGACGAAAAGGATACGGGGACATCTTTCCTTTCACCATTGGGATTGGTGGTGAAGTTGTTGTTGCTGTTAGTTCCAATTGATGCCGTTGATGTGTAAACCATACCGAAAGTTTTCAGCTGATCCTCCATGGTTGAAGGAACAGATTCATGCACATATCATGGACACAAGCAGCCAGTAGCGCCTTATAAACATCAAGAAGAGATATGACAACTATGGCGCTCGAAGATATGTTGCAATACTTTGGAAATGTCAGGAACAACAACAATTTCAACACCTAGGAAGGACATCTCGAAGTTTGTTTAAAAATTTTATTAATTCTGTTTATCAACATAAAGTTACAAGCTCTCTAGCACCACCGAGACGTTAGGTGGATGTATGCAACATAGTGGATGGTGTTTTACTGTTTTACGTATTGTTGTAAACATACGTACATGTAGTCAACCACCTGTATGCATCAAGTAGACGGCCGTATGCACAAAAACTTTCCCTGTATCACCATTGAGCGTCACTTTGTAAACACGAGGTAGCCCTTCAGAACAACACACCGTCACTTAATCACACGTAATTTAACTCAATAAATATTTAAAACTACCGGTTTTGGTTTTCATAATACGGTTTCATTGACATAGTTTGTTATTTTCTTAGTAAACGACATTATCACTGCCGAATTTATGTGACGCAAATGGAACACTTTGCCTGTTAGTGTGAGACATTATACCAGACGAGTTGTATAATTCTTAAGATGTACAACACGTTCATTTTCATTATTCACTTTTGATGACAGTGTAATTAGTGCATTTATATTTCTTACGTAAGCATCAATATTATGTTTCCACCAATAACGCATCAGACTTTGTAATCATTCGTCGATGAGTAATTGTGAGGTTTAAACAATTTTATTATTTTCTGCAATTATCGTGAATTTTCATGTTGGTTTATAGTTTCCCATCGATAGTACATAATATGGCACCACTATCACAGATTTTCACTTCCCATACAACTATTATATACACGTGTTCCATCACCACATAGTTATATGACGGAGCGATGAGAGTATCACCCCACCTGTATCACTGCAAGTCCCATACTAACTCGTTGAAGAGGTGGCGAGGCCTTACCTTGTCGGATGCCCGACTGAGTGTCCAACGACGATTTTCGCTTTAACATTAATTAACAAGGTCATCATTAAGGTAAGTTTATTTTTATATTTGTATATATGAATATAGAAATAGTCAGGCCTTAAAGGAGATATTACTGAATACAAAATTTAAAAGAGGTAACGTAGATGAAAGGCACTAATCAGTAACTGGCAATTGTCGGCCACCTGCCCGCCCGGCCATCCCTCGAGTATGCTCTTTTCGGCATTTCCTCAAAACCACAGTTATCCTGGGCGTGACATACAGGGACAAACACACGCTAACAATCTCTGATAATTCCCCCATGTAGTCTATAAAGCGAGAAATAATAACGCTGGGAAAACATGGCAACAAGCACAGCGAAGGTGAGAGTGTTATCACGCACACACAACCCACAACCCCTCCCTCAACGACCACCACCACCCCCACCTCCTCCTCCAAACCCCGACATAGTGCACCTCACCTGCCAAAGCTCTCCCTACCCCCTCCCCTAGGCAACAGGTATCCTCTAGTCACCCCAGATAACACCAAGCAATACGTCTCCTGCCTCACCACTTCACTCTTCACTCCCAAAAGAACATCACTAATCCGGGGTGGTCCTGTGGTCTCCCTCACATAATACTGTACCTGAACTAATTAACCTGTCATTGGGTTTACCACGGCAGGTAGAAGGTGACCGATGGTTCGTGTGGCGGAGAATCATAAAGCTTATTATTGCCGGGTCAGGGGATAACGCCAACATAACCTAATCTAATCGCCCTAGGTAGTGTTAGGTTGTTTTAATCATCAGAAAAAAAAAGGTTTCCTCTTTCATTTATCACAATAATATCCCATTTCTTCTGGTGTGTGATTCATCTCTCCTTTAATTCTCAAGACACTGCTAAGAACTCATTTTTGTTCATGTTTTTATATTACTAAGAATCATGGCTGAGTTGCTTTGATGATTCTTCTTCATTGATTCTCAAGTGATTTTAAATCCATATTAAGAATTTTTTTGTTTTTTTATTATTATTCATATTTTCATTTTCCATACGTTTTAATTTTTTATTTTTTCCTAAATATGTAACTTATTTTTTTCTATTAGCTATTTCATTATACTTGTATTTTATTTTTCATTAGTTGGCTGACCATTATGTTTTTCATTACGATCATAATATAGTGCTATTCATTGTTGATGGAACCTTCAAATTTAAATGGACCTGTCAGGTGAAATGGAGCTTTCAGGTGTATTGGAAAGTTTTCGATGCATTGGAATTTTTAGGTGAATGTAAACTTTGTTGGTGTAGTGGAGCATTCAGGAGCATTGGAGATGTTAGGTTTCCTCTGTCTCTTCTGTACTAACACTGGGCAATGAAGGTCAAGCGAAGTAACAAAGAACAGACCGACTGCCCAAACAGCTAGTAAGGTTATAAGAGATGAAATGACAAATATAAACACGAGATCCATTCTTTAGTTATAATGATCATTACTGAGGTTAAGAAAATATAAACATTATGGTAATAAATCACAATTCCTCATTATTCCTTTATTAAACTAAATTAGTAACAGATCCCTCTGGCAACCCTCCACCTTGGGCAGTGGTTGGGCTGCGAAATTGTTTTTAAGTCATCACAATTCCAAGTAAACTATTAACCACAAACTCCAAGAGACTGGTTATAAAAACACATGTGAGAATATTTTGGTGGTAATTTTATTGACTGTAAATGTCCAATACAAGGCTCAAGCTTCCAGTGTCGGTCTGGCGAAGTATCCCTCACCAGGACCCGTAGAATAGATAGAAAATGGGAATATCACTCGTTGCGTGATGAGACTCAGAATTGCTCAGAGCACCACGACTGCAAATTACAGCACTGTACTCTCAGTAACAAGGTGACTACAAGGTTATCTTTTGTACATGTAAGAGAAGAAATATCCCATGAACAGAAAAAAACACCAAACATCAAAAACCGTTTCGGTAAGTTGTCGGACTAAGCCGTTTTCTGTAGAGTGACTTTGACCAATAGGGTCTGTAGGATGGGTAAGCAGTGAGGGCGTTTATATCATGTTATAACTGAAGGTCTAATCATATAGTTAGTTCACGTTTCTGATACACAAGCATGACCTCCTCTACTGTACATGACCTTAAAAGAGAAGTCGTTGTATATAGTTTTGCATTAATTAATCTGTTACAACATTTCCATACAAGTGTGGGAGCCAGCACCTTCCATTTTGATCTGTCTCAACCTGACCTTTACCATGACCTTCACTGACCTCGAAGTATGCAGACGCAACCTCTTCCCCCGGTAGCGTTTGCGCCTTCGACAAGAATGAACTTGTTCCATCAACCAAGGAAAGAACCTCGCCAGTGCCGTCGAAGCCACCACGACTGCAGAGTGGAGGCGACTTGGGCATTACAACAAGCCCAGAAGACTTTGGCTAGGTACTGCATGGTTGAGTCTTACACTAATATGCAGCCATGCCTATACAAACACCATCTGGCTCCCACAGCAAAAAATAATATCATTAAAATAAAGTTCTTAAGGGAATTTTGATTTTGATTTTGGTACATAAAAGACAAAAACACTATGATGATACTGGAAACAAAAGACAAATAATACAGAGTATACATACAGTTTGAAAGTTAGTAAACAATAATATGCAGAGGCCTACAAATTAATTAAATATTCTCCTATATCGCATTCATATAACTTCCCCGGTTCTATGAATGTCGATGAGGGCCAAACACCCAGCGGAGACCCCAATTATAGTTTACCAGATTCTATAATACAATGACAATAAAACTCATTAACAGTAAACTATACACAAATAAAACGACAGGATACTGAAACACTTTCGAAGTACTTCATAATCTTTTCGATTCACTTGATTCGATCGTATCCAAGTCGTTGTACCTAGATTGATCCAGTCCTGCTTTTTTCTTTACTTTTTGTGTCACATTTTCATACACTCTACATGAACGGGCATAGTCCAGCACTTGCCTGAGAGGGAATGACAATATTTTTCATCACTATTATCCTCCAAAAAAGGTTGAAAGTTTTCACCATAACATTCAACAGAGGAGTCAAAATAACATTAGCCTACTATATATATATTTTCCTTCAGTTACCCGTCCCAACGCTGCCACCTCTGTACGTGTTCTTTGACAAATGGCTCAGCTGGAGGGGTGGCTCGCGTGGAACTGTCGGCACTATAGTGTTTGTATGGCTAATAATAATAAAAAAACCATACATGACACACGAGAGCAAGGTACACTGTTGCATGTTTTACTTTATTCCGAGATAAAACCACATAACTTTATTCTAGTCAAATATGATTGAAAGTGAATGGTAATCTAAACCATAATTCTAATTTTGAGGAGCACACGAAGCATTATATATAATATATATATTTATATATATTTATATGTATATTTTATTGAATCCATATAGGGAATGTCAAAATTGTTTAACAAAGACTGAGTATTTCTAAGATCTTCTAAGACTATCAGCTGTGCAACTTATATCCTAAGGTTTAATGTGTATTTGGAATGGAATCTTCACAGGGAGAAAGTGCGGGGTGAAACACTATACTAGATTTTTTTTTCTATTTTAAATAAAAACTGTCCACTACATGTTTTGTTATTTTGAGCTACGCACCACCAAACTCTCCACACTATAGAACGCTTTTTTTTTCTTTTGGGACTACAGGTTAACACGAGAACGAGAACCACTAATGTGTGTAAGAAGGCAGTTAACAAGAGCTACACGTCTGAACTGATAACATAATAGTTGTACCCTTGTAGTGGAAATATGTGATAAAGGTATCGTATCAAGGCATTCTGTAGCTGGTACACCCATAAGGGCATAGCGGGAGGATAAAAAACAAACAAACATACAGTCATCCACAACATCGCTGCTCAGGCTCAAACAAAACAAAAATCACAGGTTTATATCGGCTCTTGTAAAGGCCATGATCATACTTTTCAAGATATTGTTTTTATGAGTCCCAGGCTCTAATGTGTTTCATACAGAGGAAAGTTAACGAGAAGGTTAAAAAAGTTTTATGCTCAGTGAAAGACCATCATAAGAATGCTTAGCTGTTGTTTACACTTGCAGAGGAAACAAGACGAATCTTGAAATTAAATCAAGTGGGATTATTCAAGATTGTTTTTGCCTCGTAAGAAAAAGGAACAATTGACGGCGCTATTCAACAGTGGTGCTTTTAATATTTTGAAATTGCAGTAGCTGTTGCACCTTGAGATGATCATCATGGTGCTGAGATGAAAAGCTCTTTTATTTCGATATTCTCTTTGGCCCACACAGGTGAGCTCATGCCGGGAAGGTCTCCAGGTGGTGGAGGACCCGACGACAGTAGTCTACAGTGTAATGTAACTTCAGCACTTATCGTTAAGATTCATTTCCAAAGTTATCATGATACTAGAGAGGAAAATATAAATAAAAACTTGTTAATACTACGAAATAAATCATCTGGCCAAAAACTGGGCTACTTTTGTAGTGTTGATTGTGGCACTCTCCTTCACGAGAAGTCTACACTCTAAAACTCCTTCTATTGTATATCTGGTAAATACACTACTGATTTATATGTATATATATATTCATATGTATAAGGTAGAAATTTCCAATATTCATACCAAACTAAACAACTATGAGTTATACATTCTAGGAATAGAAATGCTCCTGAAGAATTAAATTATTTCCGCCTCTGTTTGAAAGTCTTTCCTTGTGTTGAGACCCATAATGTATCTAATATGAAACCCTGTATTGTTCTAAAATGTATTTTGTATTTTGTCGATACTCTACACCACCGTACAAAAAAGGGTTCCATAGTCAATTAAACGACATAATAAAGATCACAAACCAGCTCTGAAACCTCTCACCAACCCCGTTTTTCCTAGATTGTAGAGGGAGGGGAGGAGGGTGTCCGGAAACTTCGAGACCTCTCAGTTCGAACTTCCGAGCAGATCTGGAATATAGAAACAGTCTACTTCTACTTCAGTTATCGTCTCCGAATAAAAAGGTCACAAGATCTGCATAGAAGATGGATTATAGCTGAGTGTAATACTGCGAGTGATGAGTGCAGCGAATACCCTCACAGTGTAAACCAGTTTGTTGACTCTTAGTGCCGGTTCACTTTAGGCTTCATACGAGAGTGAAGCAGGGTTCGATCTGAGCAACAGATGGTTAGTCTTGAGTGCTTGGAGCTTCATGTGGTGGTCAGTTGTGAGGGTGGGGGAAATAAGCATGAGAGTCTGACTTAAACGAGGCCTGACAAGAGCTAAGGACTTCATCCATCTACTATTATAAGTTAGAAACTTCATGACTCTCTTATTTGTATTTTTAGCAGAACATGAAGCAACCTGAAGCCTTTATTTTTTATAAACTGTAATGCTGGAGACGAAAGAATCTGATGTCAGATGCGGCTGTTTGTATATGCTTTCCATGAGACGGCCTAGAGAGAAGCTAGCTTACAAAAATCAAGGAATATTGACCCCTCTATGAACAGTTGTGACCTATTATATATGCAGACCGTGACTTAGGGCTATTTATGGCCAACCATCCACTCCAAGCTTTCTATTACTCACATCACACTATTATTCACTTTGAAAAGATTTTGTTGCAAAGCTGCAGAATTATTTCATTTTTAGGACAACCGAATACCTTGAGGATTCATCTGTGTCAATCTATCAGTCGGGAATAATGATCAGAGATTCTGAAAAAAATGGCCAAATGGTTTTCATGGTCCCTGTAGTACACGAGGTCTTACACTTAAGCTTAATGAAATTTTATTTTTAAGTTTTGTTAAATCTAAGTTTGACAAGGGGAGGGGGGTGAGGGGGAGAGGGCCGAGATAACCTCTCCCTCGGTGCTAACATCATCGTTGTATGTTAGTTGATGCTGCTGCTGCCCTTGAGAATGCCAAGCCTTTATAAATGACGCCTTTTAGAACGTCACTGATAATTTTTTTGAGGACTCTCTCTGCTCCATTACTGAAGACGTTCGTCCGCTTGGTGTTGAAGGCATTAGGGCATGTCCCTCTGGCTGGAGACCAGATCTTATAACCCTCTAGTCGACGGTCTCGATGGCGACAGTGGTCTCGGACTTCTTCTTTGGGTCCTTGCCAGGACTTGGGGTCTTGATTGCAGCCTGACCTCCGGGCGCGGCTGCGGCAGATCCAGTGGCAGACACGGCCGACATTGCACTGCCACGCCTTCCGCCTGAAACGTCGACTGTTATTTACTCAGACAGCCCTAATTTTGGAGCACTAGCTACCTACACAATCTAAGACCTATCCATGAAACCTTAACAATATAAATACTACACTGGCATAAACCCTCATAAATGCTTAACTTAAAGGCCTCCTCTCCTCACGTCTAACGTATAGGAAAATAACCTAGTTTATGGTACTATAAGATCTTAATTATAAGTCACCCCTCTGATGGTATGCTGAGGCTACCACCCCACTTCCTATCATCAGCAGTGACCAAATGCTCCATTCCTAAGCCGACTTTATCATTAACTACAGGAGGATATAGTTTAACATGCATTTTCTTCCTCATGAAGTTTAAGTTATAACTAAGACAATTCTTTATACTTCAGTCTATTACCAGGACTTTATTAGTTTTCATTTATTATTCATTTCCACTGGATGGATTTATTACCTATCATACTACGTCACTGTTTACTGTTATCGGGAATACAGAGTAAGTTATAAAGACAAACACAAACTTAAGTCATGCATTTTTTTGTTACATCAAGTCTACCATAACCTTAACTTTGTATTTAATGATAACTTTGGTGATTATTCTGTTTTAGTATTCTGTACTGACAAGTATTAGCTGTTATCTTGTAATTGTCAGGGTTATTAAGATTCGTTCAATAGTTTTCCTATCATAAGACTTTTAAAAACTTTGCAACTGATACACGTAAAAAAATAAATTCCCCATTGCAGTGTTTTTGTTTTATATAAATCCAAACTTTTTAAAATTACCAGAAAGTTATATAATTTGGCTGAATTATATCACATTTTCGTATTTAAAAGTTGTGAGGTCAATGCATTCAATAATCTAAAAGTTTGTTTTTATTCTATACTTTCACTCTTTTTAACTCTTTTCCCGGCTAAATCTTCCTATTACCCTTCATTCTACTCATCATCTGTCAATCACTAATGAATTTCACTAAGATTTAAATCACAACAAATAACTACAGTGCCGTTCGTGGATGAAGGCATATGGAGTCGGATTTACCCTACTCTATCAATCCTTCTTCCACGAACATCTCAACTACCCAAAATATTTATCTAGTTTTAAATAAATTATCTATATTAATACAAAAAAAGCTTCACCTGACCTAAATCAATTACAAAAAATTATTCCCTAAATCTAAGACATATATTATAAAAATTATCTTAAGTCTATTGTGATTAAAATGAGTCTTGTATGAATAGTGTTGTTTAAAATGTCTTAAAATTAGACTCTTGTGATTAAATACTTTATCTATAATATTTTACCAGCAAGTAATTATTTTCTTTTTCACACATTAAGTCAAAAAGCCTATGAGTTGAACTTTATCTAAATGTGTTAATAAATTGATGAATGATTTCTATTTGTAAATATATTTATATCTAATTCAACTTAATTTAGTTTGTTTAGATTTTAGAAGATTAAAAAAATAAATTTAGAAGAGAAAAAATGTTAAGTTGAGGTCGTCCACAAGATGGGTTAAGGAGAGGAGGAAAGACGTGATCACATATGTACTTTTTGACTGTGAATGAAGGTTCTGCTTCTCCATGTCTCAATATTTATTTATACAAAACTCATCCTTTTAACGCGACATCTTTACAACATATAAACTATACAACCACGTATCACATACTATATAGTTATGTGTAAAACACGTCACGTCGACCGGTACAGCTAAAAACCAAACTTTTAAATCAAGTTCCAGGTTTATCTAAGACGATCGAGGTGAAGTTTGATCTTAAAGGCTATTAGCTGAGGACTTGCTGTACAGCGAAGCCACTACACGCGTGTCATGCTGTGACGGCAGAGTTGACGGGCTCTCTACTACGTTTGTTTGGGTGTGGCTAAGGGTTAGATGAGGGTGCATGAAGGTTCGAACCCGTGTTCCTGTGGCCAGGCTGGTTGGTCCGCCGCACCGCAGTTCAGCTTCTTGCCGCCACTCCCATCACGGTAGCACCTTCTGTGTGTGTGTGGGCATGTGTGTGTGTGTGTGTGTGTGTGTGTGTGTGTGTTTTAATATGTGAGTGTGTGTGTGCGTGTGTGTTTTAATATGTGAGTGTATTAAATGCATGTTAATTTGATTATATATATATATATATATATATATATATATATATATATATATATATATATATATATATATATATATATATATATATATATATGTATATATATATATAATAATAATCCATGTCTACGTGTTAGTGCTTCTAGCCGTGAAATACATACATGTACATCTCATCTGCGTGTGTATATACATCTGCAAATGCCTTCATTTTCCGCTGATGAGTTAGTGAGTGAATCTGCGTGAAATCTTAGTGATTAGATAAAATTAACCATACATAACCAAGTAGTCCATAATAATAATAATAATAATAATAATAATAATAATAATAATAATAATAATAATAATAATAATAATAATAATAAAACAGTAAAAATAATAACAAAATAATTAAAATAATAATAATAATAATAATAATAATAATAATAATAATAATAATAATAATAATGCGAAAGATAATATTAAGATTAAAGAGTTAAAATAATAACTTTAAAAATAACAATAATATTGATAATTATACAGTAATAACAAATATTAACTGCTAATAATAATAATAATAATATTGATACAACTAATAATAACAGCAATAATAATAATAATAATAATAATAATAATAATAATAATAATAATAATAATTAATAATAATAATAATAATAATAATAATAATAATAATAATAATAATAATAATAATAATAATATCATTACAATATGTCTCACACCCAAGTGTAAATTCAATAAAAGAATCATATTTAGTATCAGTCATGGCCAACACAAACTTAGCTTCATCAAAGCTCGTGTCATCTTTAACGTGGTAGTGTTTGGTAATTATTATGATGACTGGCAGGTTAGGTGCAGTCTGGGGGTGTGGCCAGTGTGTCGTATCACACCAGCTGGTAGGAACATCGCAGCTGTTAGTATAATCACCCCAGCTGTTAGTATAATCACCCCCAGCTGGTACTATCACCTCAGCTGGTATATCGTCATCCCAGTTGGCGTATCTTCGCCTTACTTAATATGTTATCACACCGGCAGGAATAATATCACACCAGCTGACGTTAGGTTCCCGTATGTTAGAATGTCAGATGATGTAATCAAAGCCATGCAAGTGTAGTGTCACTCCAGCTGGAGTGGTGTACACACATGTGGTGCTGTACAGGTGGTTGAGGAGTGTAGGAGGGTGGTTGGTGCTACAAGTGGTGTGGGGCTCCAGCTGGTGGTCCACAGGAGGTGTGGTGCTCCAGCTTGTGACGCTCACATGACCTGGTACTCCCGCTAGGACCAAATGTGGTGTGGACTACAGTATATTTGATAAGCCACAGGTGGTGCAAGGCCCTATCTGATGAACCGCAGGTGGTTCAGGAGCCACAGCCGGGGCTTCACAGGTGGAGCTAGGCCCCATGTGATGAACCCCTGGCAGTGTTTCACAAGTGGTATGAGACTACTTCTGATGAACCCAAGGTGGTGTGGTGAGAGCCACAGGTGGAGCGCCACGGGTGGAGGTGTCATGCTAGGTTGAAACTGACCATCCACTTACCGGGAGGTTGCGGGCATGCGGGTGTGGGCCACGCTGGCTCATTCACGGGCTACCATGGCCTGGCTCAGTATGTCATTGTCAACTAGTCGTAAACTTAGCGATCTTTTGACTGTGAAATTAGGAAACTGTCTCTTTCTCACTGAACATTGAGAATGATCTTTGCTAAAGGCAAGCAAGGGTAAGTGTAGATATACTATATATGTAATTCACGAAAGAACGTTTTCTGGTGAATATAATATATAAAAATGTCGTATCCGTTGTCCCAAACCTTAATCGGAGATATGACTTGAAGTAGAAGTCATCCCGAGGTTTGTATTTAATGAGAGTAAACGATAAAATATGAAGAAAATGGTTCATATGGAACTCTGTAATATCGTTAATCATTTGGAAGCGTTGTCTCACTCAAGGCCCTGCGCCTTAGTTATTATGGTAAGAGTTTACAATGACATACAGAGTTGCGGAAGGTCTCTTATCAAGTGTAGCAACTCACCCGGACAGCAACAGTCTCAGGACCTCGCGTATTCCTGCCCAAAGAAGTTGTCTAGTCCTTTAGTTCGTTAATTTAATAGTTATAAGGACGTTTGGTGCAACTTGTTTGTGCAAGTGTTGGTGAATGTCTCGGGGAAGAAGTTTTTTATGAAGGACAGAGAAGTTGAGGGTGGGGTCCAACAGCTAGTGGCGGGAGGGGGGGAGCCGGCGGCACTGTCAAAATCCGTCTGCAGCCGCACCACTACTACCGCCATCTAGGGTTGAGGGCGTCATCATCTAGAGGGACTCCAGGGAAGGCAGTCGCTGGTATGACACAGCTGCTGCAACTGCTGTGGCGGAGGAGGCGCGCGCAACCATGGTAAAGAGGGAGGGGAGTGGGAGGGTCGTGGTGGGTGTAGTGGTGGTAGTGTGTTGTGGAGGTAGAGTAGAGGGGGGGGAGGAGGGAGGGAGGAAACGGGAAGATGGAGGGAAGGGGGACGACACCACAGATTATACAAATGTGTGACAACTTTGAGCAGCTGACAATTATTTTTGTTTGTCTTTTTTAGGACATTCTCTAGAGAAAACATTCCAAGATTGGGTTTAGAAAAATTCGAGTTACTTGTGAGTATTATAGACATGCAAGCCAATAGTAAGGCATTCAAGAGATGGAATTTTTATGTACTTATAGTTCATGATCTGGCGACTTCGTCTAAAAAAGGCCGATAATAAGAATGCATAATGCAAAAATTCATTCGTCAGAGAGTAAAGATCACGCACTGCTCTGATATGCAGAAGCAACTGCTTGAATATCAACCCCACGCCTCCTGCAGTAAGTGACCTGCGGGCGTGCGTTGTGTGCGTGGTCGCGGGGTGTGGCAGGGGACCTGGAAGCGTCCAATTTCCTCACGCGCTTCACGTCCACAACTAAGACACACCGCAGGGAACTGCAGGAGGCGACGGTGACTGGTGTGAGGGTGGGAGGGGTGTTGTGAAGGACTGGCCACGCCCAACAACTCTAACCTTTGGCCAGAGAGCCATTGGGAGAACGGGCGGCGGCGTTGACGGAGGTGACGGAAGGGGCCCTTGAAGGGACGCGAACGCTGGCCCTTGACCCCCGACGGTCCCCGCGGGCAGGGCTCAGCAACTTACTGTCTTTGAACAATGAGGCGTTCATCAGGCGGGGGTTGGGGGTGTTGAAGATGGATCGGTTCTCGCGGAAGCGGGCCCTGTAAGGGAGGCATGACCATCAGCTTGTAGAGGGGAGGAGGATAGGAGGAGAGAAGACCGCTACGGGTCCAACAACAAATATTTTTAGACAAAGAGTCCCAAGCCTGACGTGAGACATGTTGGCTGTTGGTGGCTTCCCAGTGGGTCCTGTGTGGCCGCTCTAGGAGGGACATCTCCGTCGAGATCTGTAAAGGACTAGAGGACGATTATAATAATAGGATCAAACGGGAGCCCAGGAGACGTGAGACACCTCGAGGGAGGAGAGCAGGGGACATGTGAGGTACCTGGCTGATTGTTACATGGGACACAATAGGGACATGAACCGTCTTGAAATCGTGCTCACCACCAAGGTAGAAAAATTGGCTTTAGACCCACTGGCTGGTGAAGGACTAATACCCTACTATATGGCAACCGAGTATTAGTTTATGCGCTCGGGTGTGTGTGTGTGTGTGTGTGTGTGTGTGTGTGTGTGTGTGTGTGTGTGTGTGTGTGTGTGTGTGTGTGTATGTATGTATGTATGTATGTATGTATGTATGTATGTATGTATGTATATATGTGTGTTTGTGCGTACGTGCATGTCTGAACACCAAGCACATGTTGCAGGGAGAGACAATAACTAGGCACAGTTGATTGGCCGTATTCTCATAAACATTTCTTTATCTGATGGAGAGACTGATGCATCTTGACAATCTAGGAGTTTCTATTACGCTAATGTACCTCCAGGTAATTGGGTATGTTAGTTACCAATTAGTCTCCATTACCCAAGAAAAACATTTTACGTGACCACCAACAAAATGTAATCAGTCTACCCCATCGGCCATAGAAGTGCGAAAGTCAGTGCTTCACTAATTGATACTAATGGTGCTGGGCTAATGGCTCCTAATGGTGCTAGACTAATGGAACCTAATGGCTTAGTGAGGTGAACACAGCGGGCTCCGGCGAACTCTCACTACGCGTAACACCGAACACAGAGCATCGTCAGGTTATAAAATCATACCGAGGATAACAAACACAGACACATACATATATTTGAAGATAAAACTATGTACAGAAAGGAAACATTAGCAGACAGACTGAAGACCTGTGAGTTAATGATGTATCTAAAGGAAGAAATTATATAGAATTATTGAATAGTGAGTTGTGAGTTGTGTTGACTGTAGTGTAGTGTAGTGTAGTGTAGTGTAGTGTAGTGTAGTGTAGTGTGGTGTGGTGTGTGTGTGTGTGTGTGTGTGTGTGTGTGTGTGTGTGACGTACTCTCTCTGTCTGACACACACACACACACACACACACACACAGATGAAAACATGCGCTATATGTTTCTTTCTCCAAAAAGTTATTGAACACCTGTGGCTGGACTCCCGTATACAGGTGTTGACATACATATATGTATATACGTGTAGCAGCAACAGTAGCCGTGTGGTGGTGGTGGTGGTGGCCGGGAAGCAGTCAGCTCTCTCTTATTGTTGTTGTTGTATTTGGAGTATATGAAACATGTAGCAACAAGTTATACACGTTGACCTATACTCCTGTTATTGTAGAATGATATGAATGTTTTAATTATATATATATACAGAGTTTTACATGGGTAAGTGAATGTTATTGTTGAAGGTTAAAAAATAAACATTAGCTAAAGATAGAGAGAAAGAGGGAATGATGACTGATATAGCAAGAAGAGTTAGAATGATGTTATCTCGGCATTCTTGTTGATACATGCTATTTTTTTTTCTTTACACTTGTGATCTTAATATGTAAAATGAGTGTATTGATCTCCAGAATCTGTGCTGTAAAAGAATAGTTAAATATTTACATTTTTTTTATTTACAAAGATGTATTTTGTAGATAATGTATATCGCTGTATCGTGATTATGTAAATTGTTCAGTTATTGTTTTTTTACACAATGAATGATATCTGTTTTTGTTGTCGTTGTTATGCATGTCGACCTCCCCTCCCCACCCACCCACCCACCCCACTCATCCATCTCGGTTTGATGTTCAGGTGAGGACTACCGTAACTATTCGTGTCATCTTCATCAGACACAAACCATCGAATGTAAAGATGAAAATGGCAAAATTGACACTAGGAAATGCATTCAAGAAAGTAAACTTATAAGTAAAGTTAATAACCAAAGAAGACCAAATAGTATCTCTACCAATTTGCCTATTATCTACCTATTTCGTGGGGGGGGGGGTAACTACTGCCTCGTATCTGGTATCGAAATTAGATGATTAATTGGCTATTCAAACTTACCACTACAATACTCCTAAACTTAAATTAACTAGTTAGATTAATTATTGTAACAGTAGATTAATTTAGTAGTTACCATTACTTTACACAACCTCTAACCCGAAATAACTAGTCTTGGTAAAGTCTTGAATTGAACGTAGTCAGCATTGGTCTCCTGGGGGGGGTATTGACGTCTCCAATGCTCTCTTTTATTTACTTCCCTTACTATCTCCTATGCTTGCCTGCTTTATCCCTATACCCTCTCTTCGTAAGGACAGGCGAGAGGGGAAGGGGAGAAGATCATCTATTTTATTCCTGTGCAAAATTTGGGAGTTAAAGAAATAATTGAGGGTTGGAAACGAGTTTGGAGAGGAATTTTGAAGGCCAGAGAGGAATTTAAGGGGGGGGGGGTATTTTTGAAGGCCAGAGAGGAGTTTGGGGGGGGAGTATTTTTGAAGGCCAGAGAGGAGTTTGGGGAGGTAAATATCTACATACAATGGTTCTCAAAATCTCCGAAAGCATTCAAGACTCGTGACGAAGAGCTGCTTAAAATATGTGGTAAAAACATTGATAGATAGTACAGTCATATTGCATTTAGGAATACATTAGGAATTTATGGATACATTTAGAAGAGAGGATAGCATTCATATTATTTAGGAATTATGAAGATGTTTTAGGAATTAGAATTTAGACATTAGAAATACACCCATAATTTTTTTTTTAAGGTTTTATGAAGTGAAATATGTTAAGGAACTGTGAAGGAATTTAGTGGTCAGAAATAATATGTGTCTGGGGTAAGGAATCTGTCATGATGAAACAATACAGGTGAGACAACACACAGGTGGGAAAAAAATTAGGAGTTGGTGGAAACACTCAGGTGTGATGGAGACAATTAGTCGTATTAAAGAGTTAGTTGTTCAAAACACCTGGGGGTTGAGAGACAGGACTTGACATTTGAGAAAATATTTAAAGCTATCAAACTTGACGCCTTTCACTGCGGCAGTTGAGAGTAAGAGATTAATTTATTTATAACCAAATTATTTACGCATTTTAAAATTCATGTTTTATTAATGAGAGTAAACCATTATAATGTATCATACTTCATCGTGTAGTTTTTGCGTAGACTTTAAAATAAATACAAATAATTTTATTCCACAAGTTATCTTTAAAATAACTACACATTAAAATCCTCTAAGACCTTTTCATCAAGATCATTGTAGGCGTCAAACATCATTAAGAAAGTTTCAGAGTCAGAGCTGTAAATGAGAACAAGACTAATTTATAATCACTATTAGACATTATCTCAAAATGCAGTCTTTTAAGCCATAATAAGCAATTCACTTCGCTTGTGGTTCGTGCGAGTGAACTAAGAGCCTGATAGCGAGCACGATTTCTATCTATCTCCAATAACTGAAGATGTGATAAGTGAGAGAAGCTCAGAGCCAGCAAGCTTCAACTGAAACAAAATAGCATCGGGCTTATCTGGATTACGGGGTGAATGAAGGATCACAGGTGTGTTTCAAGACCCCCTCCGAGCTAAGACTATAAAGAACATTCCCTCTGTGCACAGGTTAATTGGTTGCCTTATAGAACTAAACAAACAATCCAGACTCGCTCTCTCTCTCTCTCTCGAATCCGGAACTTACTTTCAGAATTGGCATTGGATACGTTTATCCTTCGTGAATTGAAGATGGTACGTTTCTCCTTGAAGCGAGCTCTGCAAGGAGGAGGTGAAGTGGGTGAGGAAGAGAAGGGAGAGCAGGAGGGAGAGAGTAAAGAAAGGAAACAGGAAGGAGGGCAATAAACTGATCATTTACGAAAGGATGAGAACATTCGGACAAACATAGAGTGAGAAAGGACACACTTTATACACAAACGCACTCACAGGTAAAATAAGATATAAAAGAAAATTGCAGAATGTACATAGTGGGAACAGCAGATGATGATGATGATGATGATGATGATGATGATGATGATGATGATGATGATGACGATGATGGAAAGGCAAATACATAGGAAATATAAAGATGAGCTCATAGAAGAGAAGAATAAAACTAAAAAAAAATAAAATAAAAAAAAATAAAGCATAAAGATACCGTTAGTAGTGAAACTTCTATTTAATGGAATATATGGAGGAAAGTCCCATATATCCAGAGTCCGTTAGATATTAAACCCCCATCTAACGGATAATATGGGGAAAAAAGTCCGTTAAATGGAGGATTCACTGTAAGTATTCGTAATTATGAAAGATAGATTAAATATGTAAATGAGGATTAACTTAAGTTGAAACGTAGTAAGAAAGAAGGAAAATCACGTAACAGGAGAATATAGTGTTAAGAAAATAAACGAATAAAGTTATGAAGAGATAATCCAAGGGTTTAGTTACTGTACAGTGTGACTTAAGTTGGTCTTATTAATGCTAGGGCTAGCCAGAACCAACCGCATGACATCGTCTGTATAAATCAGCCATAATGACATGTCACAATTATCATGCCTTGACTGTGTTATTGTTGACAAGTTGTAGGTAAATGACAGGGAAAGAATGACCGGAAAGATAAAGAAACTATTAAAAAAAATAGTATGATGAAATGTGTAATGAAACGTGAAAGGGGGTCCCATAGTCATGACTGCAGTGGGGATACAGTGCACTGTATACTAATCCTTCGTTACACAAGAAGGCAGCATGGCCTGTACTGCTCTCGACCGTCTTCACTTCCCCAAATTGTAAACTTTAGGTACCCATTTACAGCTGGGTGAATTGAGAGTACCCGGGAA